TTCTTCAGTTAAATACAGTAACGATAAACCCCCACACCTTCTTCATTGGAAAAAAAGTAGAGAATCCCCCACCTTTGAAGATGCCAGAAATGACACCAACGCTTAAGCTTTTAGCCCTTCAGCAGAGATAGAGACTTGGTAGATATTTACAGAAACAAGCATACAAGAAAAAGACAAATAAAGTGAAGGGTAAGGAGCAGTACCTCTACATTAGTTATTTTCTCTTCTTTTTTTTATTGGTAAAAGAAAAAATGCTCGTATATTAGCTTTTTGATGTTGACAATCCAAGAGTAAGCACAGAAGATTGACATCGATATCCAACATAACCATTAAAATAAAAGACAGTTTTTAACCAGAAGTATACATTGAATGAAAAATTTAGGCATCAAAAGCTTTAGAAGAATCAGAGATTACAAACTAACAAGATTCATAGCACAAAACAATGAGATAGCTGAACAAGTATAAAATATGGCAAGAGTATAATAATCTATCAAATATAAACATGCTAAGATATTAAAACAAAATAGCAATTAGGGAGGATATTTTGAAAGTAAACCTTCGTAATTGTAGCAAAACAACATTATTAGAGACACAAAATAAGAATGCAAATATTAGATCATTGACCAACCACTCCAGCAAAACCAACAGAGCTCAATAAACGACAATTATATGAAGCTATAGAAAATTTCGTCACATGGGCCTCAGCTCAAGTGATAGAAACTCATAAAAACCACACACTATTCAGAAAATGATCTGTCTTTAATCCATTGAACATTTACATTTGAAAATCAGAAATTTTATTAGAATTGGAGCAGCATAAAAATAATGCAAGTTACTTGATACCAATACTAAAGGTTTTTTCTTCATTCTTTCTTCTGAAACGAGCTTATAGGATATATTATTTTCCCAATGTTCTTACACTGTTTAATGTGATAACTAACAGCTCAATCTGCTATCAAGAAACAGAGAACCACAGGAATGTGCAGAAAAGGTTTGAACAAGATTGAGCAGGTTTATGCACCACTTTTATTTAACAGTGAATAGTTTTGATCACCCAGTTTTAGTAAAACTGATTTACTAGTTTTTGTCAGGTGAGAGGGGGTTGATTCTTCAAGTTGTAGCCACTATTAATCAGTGTCAACAACACAAAGGGAAAAAGGAGAATAGGTAGAAAAAAAGAAGTTGATTAGTGTCAAATCTGGTGCACCACCTGTCCATATTCCTAATCTATGACAAATAACGAGAGTAAATGCATGCTGCTGAAGGCATATTATTTATCAAGACAAGTAGGGGATAAGCACAGATCTGTCTGCTTCTATCACTGATTATTACCAAATGACCTCAGACTGCAAGAAAATCTTTTTTCAAGGTAGAGAAGTCTTGAAAGTTTATCAAAACTTTCACCTAAAAAGCAATTGTTTAGTGAATTTCGCAGGACCAGAAACTAGTGCTTCGATCCTAATTACAAATAACTAAATGAAGAAACAAAAGACTAGTGCTTTGGTGAACTCATTTAACGGCAATAAATGATTAGCAGATTTCTTCTTCGTAACTTGCTTACAGTCCATTCCAGAAAAGATGCTTCCTAATTACAAATAACTAAATGAAGAAACAAAAGACTAGTGCTTTGGTGAACTCATTTAACGGCAATAAATGATTAGCAGACTTCTTCTTCGTAACTTGCTTACAGTCCATTCCAGAAAAGATGCTATACAAATGATTTGACATATAAAGGTGCATCTACTAACCAATTGGTAGATGCACAAAAGAGGCGGGAGGGGAGATTGCGTGTGCAGCTCAAGACTTCAAGCAAATGGATAGACATATTCACTTGATAAATGCAGCAAGAACATGGTGAAACATCAATTTAATTTAAATCCAATTCATAACAGAACTCCAAATTTCTAAGTATTCACAAGTCTTTTGTCCTGAGAAGTTGTCTCCAAATAGTAACAAATATAAGCTTATTCAATAACTAGCCTCCAGTTTCCTAAACTTCAATACTTTCTCTAGATCTTTTCTGGAGTCTACCTTTATCGAAGTAAGTAAATTGAATAGCAACTCCAATGAGTTAAGAACGAGCTAATATTCAAGACACTTTGCTTTCAAGCAGATCACAGTCGAAGCTAATTACTAGTTAAACCCTATCAAAACCCAGCATAATCATCTTTTGATAATTGATATGCCACTCAATTTGTTAAAGTTATGTACATGCATCCAAATTTACCGTACTACTCTATTCAAGTCCATCTGATACCAAATCCTAACTTGTATTCAAAAGCAAATTAGCCTTATTCTACAACCAGAAAATCCTTTAAATCTCAGATCTTATCCCTACAAAATCCGTACAAATCTCGAACCAATATGAAAACAACTCATAACAATAACACTGGATTAATTAATATAAGCATAATAATCATTGAAAACAATAAACTGCAGTAGATGAAGGAAGTACCTAGATCGCCACCGCGCTTGGCAGAGCTGCAATCAGAGAAGCGAGAAGCAACATCTTTGAACTTGGACTTGCCGGAGATGATGTCATCGCGAAAGGATTTGAGCTGGGAAACGGCGGCGTCTCTGGTGGTGTTAGAGATGATGCGACCTTCTGGATCTTTCCATGAAGATTTACGCCTAGATCCTTCGTGTTTGATGAGTATGTGGGATGCCCTCACTTGGTTCGACGCCATTTTTTTCCAGATACCTTTCTCCTACACCCAATCGCCGACGATCTCTCGACTCAGTAGTGGAGTGGGTGAGAGTGAATCTAATACTCGCTGATTCGTGTTTTACAAGTCAGCGTTAGATTTTTAATTAATTTTAATCACTTTTGTCAAAGTAATAATGAAAATTAATCGAGTCATCGTTAAATTTTTAATTTAATTTTAATCAGTTTTGTCAAAGTAATAATGCAACATAATCGAATTTAAACAAATAATCGACCAAATTTCGTCTTTATATTTTGATTATTATACACATAAAATAAATACATGTACTAAGACATATAAAGATACTTCTCAATGAGTATCTTTAGTATAACCGATTAGATGAATGATTATTTAAATTATTTTTTTAAAAAAAAAAGTAAGTTCTCTCCTCTAGTTAATAGTACTTGAGTAAATTATAATTTAATATTTTGTGATTTGATTAAATATATTTAAATTTTAATTATTTAGATTTTTTTATTATTATTTCCTTGCTATTGAATGATTATAACATTTTGAAGTATTAATCTCTTACCATTTTAACATTTGTGTATATATTGAACTCATTTTATTATCTTGTATTTAAGGGTAATTTACTTCTTTTTATAAAAAAATCTAAACATAATATATTTTCTACAAAGAGATCAAAACATACATTTTAATTAATTAAATATTAATAATATTGTGTTATATATCATAAGGATAATAATTAGAATCCACTATAATTGAGGGACCAAGTATACTATTATCGTTTTTAAAAATTATATTAATTAAAAAATGATTAAGTAGATAATGGAGTACTATTAGATGAATTATTATTCACCCTCATATCAAGAAGTATTTTATAAAACTAATCATTTTATGTTTACTCTATTAAATAGGAGTAAAGTAATAAAAATAAACAAATAAGGCCTTGCTTTCATGTTAAGGCTAAAAAGGGAAATAGACATTGTGAGGATTCACTAGGCAGGCGCACAGCCGATCACAGCTCACACGATATAACCCAATTATCGTTTGTTGGTAGAGTTGAGGGTTTGTGAAATTCTAATTTTTAGGGCTTAAAAGAGATCTTGAAGCTCTCTACTTGTGAAGTCAACAATGGCGCCTCTTCCCGGACCTTACTCTGGAACCAGTACCCTTGCTCTGGTAAAACCATTTTCCTTCTTTCTTCAATGCTTCGATCTCATGTACTCATTATCATCGATTTTGAATTGCTTTGGATTTGTCTTAAGAAGCATATTGTTGAGAGTATTACAGGGAAATGGATCTGAATATAGTGAATTAGATTTATGCTTATGTGATTGATTGATTGATCGATTTAATTGTTTTTGGGGCAGGTGGCTCGTACTTCAGCATTCACATTTGGACTTGTCTATGGTAGCATGAAGCTCAAGTATCTCAAGGTATTTTCCTTTCTCCCCACTATATATTGGCAATTTTGGACAGCAAAATAGAATGGATTGTTGCTTGTTTTTGTAGATTCCCAGTTATTTATTTGTAATTTTTGATAGGAAAATGAATGAGTTTTTGCTTGATTTGTAGTTTACCCACTTTTTATGGTAATTTTGGATAGGAAAAAGAAGGCCATTTTACTTGATTTTGTAGACTACTCTGTGTGAATTGTTCTTTTGCTATGTTTGTTCAGCGTCTTTAAGCTGTAATTCTTTGCTTTTGCAGTCAATTTTTTAGCTGTCAAAATTTTAGATGTTAGTTTGAACTTCTCAAATTATTCTATCTTATTGTTAGAGTCTATACTAGCAGATTTTTACTAATTGAACTATTGTAAAAACAAGCTGAATTGCAAAATTAGATGAGATGAAAGAAAGCCATTGTAGTTGGTGGGGAACTATCTGATAACCGCTCAATGTGCATAGCACAAATATTAACTATATTTCTTCAAGAGTACCTGATCGACTTCCATGAGATGAATTTGGATTCAGAAGCAGAAAGGAGATGCATGAATTTTTGTTCTCATAGCCTGTATGATGTTGATACAAACTGAATTAGAGGCCCAAATTCAGTCTTATGCTTTAACGTGGAAGATAAGTAGAGCAGTTTGTTGGCTTAGGATGTAAATGTTTCTTTATATAAAAGAAAGACTATAGTGCATACTTATTTGCACCCCATTGGCTTGCAAAAACTGAATGGTAACAGCTAGTTCTTCCTCTTCAAGTATGGTAGATCCTGTTTTATCTATTTATCTAGTCCGTCACCTTATCTCAAAAGAGAAGTTTTACTAGAAATGATATTTATCTTTATGAGTTGTCTAATTTAGATCCAGGGTGTAATTTGCTTATTCAATGCAACATACTCATCACCACATCTTTCATCTCATGTGCAAAAGATGAAAGTTACGGAGATGAGTATGGTGCATTGGATGTGTGGCCATGCCATGAATGATATTAGAAATGAAAGATCTGGGATAAGTTTGGAGAGACCTTAGTGAAAGACAAGATGCGTGAAGCAAGGCTGAGATGATGTCAATATGTGAAGAGGAGATGTAAAAATGCTCCAGTGCGGAGGTGTGAGAGGTTGGCTATAGATGGTTTCAGGAGAGGTAAAGGCAGGTCGAAAAAAGTATTTGGGGGAGGTGATTAGATTGGACATGGTGCGATTTCAACTTATAGAGGATATGACCTTAGATAGGAGGTTATGGAGGGGACATGGATTAGGGTGGGCGGTTAGCAAGTAGTAGAGTGTTATCTCACCTATCTTTCCATACTAGTAGTCGTAGTATTAGTGATGGAGTTTCTTGTCCTTCGATGTTTGTTGTTTTATTGCACTTCGATTATCGTATTATTTTGGTGTAGTTATGTTCTTTTTAGAATGCTTTTGACACCTTTTTTCTTTCATTCTTTTCTTCTTCTTCTTTGAACTGAGGGTCTATTGGAAACTACCTCTCTACCTCCTAAGGTAGGGGTAAGGTCTGCATATACTCTAACCCTTCCCATACCCCGCTTGTGGAAGTACATTGGTATTTTGTTGGTGGTGGTGGTGGTTGTGCAGTTTGCTCATTGCAATGGACCTTCTTCAGGATACATGAGCACCCCGAAATCCTTCATCCATTCACATTGAGTGTTGGGATGTGTTTGGAATTTTTTCTAGTCACGTAATGTCAAAACCCTCTTTGAAATTTGCATGGATAATATTTCAGACGACTTGTGCCTCAAATTTCCACAGTGCTCTGTGTATCAAGTGCACATATTTAGACTTCTCAACCAAAGAATTCCACATTGTTTTAGTACGAGCTAATATGCCTTTGTCATTCCACGTAGACCATCTCTGTAACCTCCTTTCCATCTTATTTATTTCAGGCTAAAGCCAAGTCTCACCAGAAAGCTGAAGCTAAGGCACATCACTGATAGAGAGCAGTATGCTGCATTTGCTGTCTGATAAAAATAATATATGGCAATCACATTATATCAATTTTCATTATGGCCTGTTGCTTAGGACCATCATTTTCGACTTGTAACTGTTCAATTTTGTATTCAAGAGTTATCAAATGTTTTTACGGTCCAATGATATAATGGTGGTCCAATTTTGAGGGATTATATTGGACAAACAGGGAAAAAGTTGGCATTGATCTGCTAGCATAATAATCTTCTTGTTGCATCAAATCATTCAGGAAAAAGCCTTTTTAGTTTGTGTTTGTTCGACCAATGATGAAGATATGCTAACTTCTTGTCTTGATGACCTGTGTTGAAGTTCTTTTTTTTCTGTCGGGTGAATAGTGAATGGATGTCTCGTTATTCCTTTCTTTGTTTTTAGTTATTTAATCATGTAATGGATTTTGACCACCACTTTAATCTATCATGGATAAGGCAATTAATGCTGTATATAGTCACTACACAGTAGCAATACATCCTGGGAACATAATATTCAACACAAAATATATGCATGGAAGTTTTGCTTATGAATGAATCCTTAAATCTATTGTTCTCCATCACTTGTACGTTGTAACAACAAGAATCTGCTACCCAGGTCATCCAGAACAAACTTTCAGACGAAAATTTCTACTATTATAATTACTATTCATATAGCTTACCCCTTTCTTTCAATTTCTTCCCAGTAATAGATGAGACCAGCTGATAAACTTGTATAATTTGAAATGGATAGGCAAAGCCAGACTTGTGCATGGAAGGCCAAGTAATACTCTTAACTGATTCGTTCATCAGACACGAATTATACAAGAAACAGGAAAAAAAACTAGCTAGACAGTTCGGACCAGGGTTCAATAAGGTTTCCACAATTTGGGAATTGTGCAAATGTTTTTTGCATGCTGAGGATACACCTTCACCCCTGTAAAAGGAATAGCAGTCATTAGGTTCTTGTAAAATTGTATGTAGCAATAAGCTCACTCAATGCGGAGCAGGGGTTTTACCCTGCGGGTTTCCCTTGTCATAAAAAAAATTAAAAATAAGCTCACTCAATGCAATGCAATTGAGATAAATGAATGTGGATAACTTCTGGGGAAGTGATGTTAATGTTCTGCCGATGTTTACTTCTTGTTCTTATAAAGATTGTGTAAGCTACACCCTATATGAGCGTTGTTTGATGGACAAGGCAGTTCAAGTACTAACATGAGCTGAAAAGCACAACATTGCTATTCACTGACAATAAAAATGCAAAATTTGTGTAGCCTAAGCAACACAGGAAACACAGTGTTGTGTTCACTCTAAAATGTGCTGAACTTTATAAACATGTGGCTTACCATTATGCAACACATCTTTTGTCTAGTCCCAGAATCGATGTAGTTTAGAGCGCACTAGAAAGCTATTTCACATAAATAATGCCTTCATCATCAGGGTCGTCACCCTCCCAGTCCTCATCATCATCGCTTTCAGATGATCCATCATTGGCAGATCCCGATGGTGAATCCTTATTTTCATTCTCATCCTTAATCCTGTCCAATATAGCAAGTACCTGCAAGAATTGGCTCAACTTTAAGCATGACCTAAAAGTACATTCAGAGACTGTAAAGTAGTAAATCTGCCAGAAAAAAAGCAAAGCAATCACACAGTTGTAATCTACTTCAGATTCAGTACCCATGCTAGCAATAGAAGACAGCGTTATAACTGCACCATTTCAGAAAAGGGGTTATGGTTTAATCAGTCTTGACTCTCAAGAATATATTCTACTATGAAAAGCCATATAAGTCATTTTTTTTCTTGTATACAGAGTAATGTTGATTAAGCAAGATCATCACTAGATCAACTTGCAAATGCAAGAAACAGTTTGAGCTGTGGTTCATTTGAAAGATCAGTGAAGAATAAAAATGGGCATCGAGGCCAATAACTTCACTCTTCTTTAATTAGTGACCAATTCCTTATAGGTTTTGTTGGACAGTATAATATTTTTTTTCCTTTTATTTCCCATGCAAGAGATTAATATGGTAATTAGTCAAGTTTTACTTGCTGCCCAGTGCAAATTTTAAGTCATAACTCGATATGCGAAATGCTCCTGACCAGTGTTTAACAAGCATCTGATACGTTCAAGATACAAGTCATTTTGGTGTGCTGTCAATGAACTTGGCCATCATTTGAGTAGGGGAAAGCCAGAGATAAAGGTAAACCTCATTATTGAGAGATTTGGTTGCAAAACAAAATTATGGAAGGAGAATCATAAAAGGCTTAGTAGCCAGGAAACAACAGCACAGCCTTGCAAAAAAGGAGAGAAACTCAAGAAAGTGCAAAGAGGATCATCGCAATGTAGTCATAAATAACAACAAACCCCCACCCCCACCCCCCAAAAAAAAAAACCAATCAATTCTCTAATAAGACATAGATTAGAATTACTCACCCTGCTTCCTCGTTCAAGGGACTCATCTTCAATGAAACGAATCTCAGGAGTCAGTCGCAACTTCATTCGCCTCCCTAGCTCACTCCTTACATATTTTGCTTTTGACTTCAAGCCTGTCAAAGCCACTTCCTTTCCTCTTTCGTCTCCAAATACGGAGACATAGACCTTTACAACCTACAGCAGTACAGAATTTTCCTAAGAGTCCAAATGGGAATAGGACAGATCACAGGAATCATCCTTGAAGATCAAAGAAGTTATCATTTATAGAAATGAAAGAAATTATTTTCTTTGTTGTCTAGTACTATTTCAATTCTTTGGCCAAATAAAGAAAGAAGGAAATCCTCATAATTTATATATACATCTAGAGAGAGAGAGAGAGAGAACCTGCACATGCACACATAAACAACCCATATGCAGTAGTAAGATTGTGACAGCTAGATAGTAACAGTGAATATGAAGTTGATATCTTATTTCTGATTGCCAACAGCAGACATCAATTTACATAGCCACATATATTAGAGGCACATATGACAACTTTATCCTGAGAAAGATAAAATTTGAGATTGGATCTTCTTGTTAGTTGCTACTGAATGGTGATAGGGGTTTGATCACTTCTTGGCGAATCATACCCTCAAATTCAAACTAAGTCAATTCTACCCTAGGGGGAAAGTAACCATGACCTTATCCTGCTAATGAATTACATACGTATCTTATTCAATATTTGATGTTTTCTTGTTTCTTTACACTCACATCTACTTTTCAAACCATAAAACCATCCTTAACTTGTGTAGTCTGTTTAAAGAAACATCCTTCAGCATATGTAAACAATTCATCCATGTCAATCCAGATATCAGGATCAGTAGCGGGAGACAACCCCAACTAAATATCAGCGTTAAGCTGGTAACATTCTATAGAGAAGGAGGCTGAGCATTGGAATTTCTTTTGTTTAAAGAGGGGGAAAGAAATAAAGAAGGGGGATGATTGTCTGTTTTCCAATGCCTACGAGGCGCAAATATGCTTTTTGTTTCAGGGGCTTTATACGGTCAAAACTCTACACCAATTTTGCTCCTGTGTGCTTGATTAGAATGAAGTATAAACTCATTGAGATTAACTTTTTCAAAACAGCCAGATGCTATATATGCACTCTTATTTTTCAGCAGTTATATTGCAGAGCTGATTAAACAACCATCAGAATACTCGATTTTACATTCAGAGTCAAAAAGAGTAACAAAACAATGGAGCAGTGAGGCAGAATGTAGTGAGATAGTGGCATATCAAATACGAGAAAAATCAGATCTCTATAACGGCAATAGTAATCTCCATTATTCCAAGTACCTAAAACCATAGAAACAGATCATTCACGTAACTGGTCCTTCCTTGCTTGGTACATCGGAAAAATAAATATCAGATAGCTGTAATTGACTACTTCAGTTTCTTAAGTAATTCAGAATGAACTAAATTAAGGAACAGAATTACAATAATAACATAAGAACATGTATATCTGCTGCAAGGATTAAGCTCGAGCAACAAAATTTTATGCATAGAGTTCATGATGTGATTAAGACTATGACTTCCGTTA